AAAATAATGAAATCGTGAAAATTTCGCCTGAAAGCACTTTGTGAAACTAGTAATAAACTTCGATGTACTGCCATAAAATCCATTTATAAATTTCCAATAGAAGTGTTTTCCCAGCCTTTCAAAAATGCCTAAAGGGCAAAGGAAGAATATTTCGAAATGAAGTATTTATTAATATGAAGTGGCATGCTTTATGATAGTTATCAGTAGCACTTTAGTTGACTTGGGACTTCACAGTGGGGAGGAGCAGACAAAGTCGACTATGACATACAGTGAGGTCATGGTAGTTTAAAGTCAGAAGTTAACTGCCGATTTATTGACTTTTCTGCCGAATGAGTATACGTTGCCCAGGGTGCACCATGTGGGGATAGGTCTATCGCACACCCCTTGAAATGACGTAAATAAGTAGCATAATCTAAAAAATTGCACTTAGTTCATGTGTGTTAACGACAGTTTTTTTTGTTGCCCGTATTGTGCATGGAAAGTCCAAAAACTGAGATCGGTGTTTATCGATGGGCATCTAGTGATGTGGTTGACGAACAACACTTTTGACTCTAGGTCAACAAGGAGATCAGCAGAATACGAGTATTCAAAAGAGAAACTCTAAAATTACACTTCTTTTACTTGCAATAAGCTTTGCTAGCAATTCATCAAATTCCCTTGAATATTTTGAGGAATCGTTCGCCAGACGCAATGATCAACTACGAAGGCCAATGCTAAATTCCAACCAACTTTAAGTTTTATTAAAAAAATCTATTACAAATCCCAAGGGCCAAATCTTCTTCCAAAGTAGTTTAAGGTATGCTCACTTTATAAAGAACCTACCTATTAATATTTAACAAAGGAATAATAATGCCTAAGTAGAAGGAGATCATTAGTATTGTCTCATTAGAAAATTATTGATTTGATTAGATGCTCTAATTACTTGAAAGGATTCTTTGTGAATTGGGCCTGGCTAATCCTTGTAGCGGATTATTACACAAATAAGCCTTGACTGTATTCTGTAATCTCTATGGCAGAATTCAATATGTATGGAAAGCCTCCCAGAGGAAGGTACGTGTCACGTGGAATACGTTTATTTTGGGCTTGTCCGCGAGTAGTGTGAAGAGACAGGGAGCTTAGTCATTATATTCCTATGACGGGTTTGATAAACCAAGGGAGGACTATTGATTGGTGGGTGGCTGGAAGGTCTCCGCGCTCATGACACGGGGGATAAGATTGCTTTTCCGGAGGGGACAATGTTATTTGCTCCACATCCTAATATAATAGCATAAAATTTATTTATTTATTTATTTATATCAAATGGCAGGCGTTTTGATAGCTTCCATTAACCATTTAGTTGACTTTCGGCTTCACGGAGGGAATGAACATCAAAGTGAAAAAAAGTCGAGACGGGGGGGNGGGGGGGGGGGAGAGGAAGAGAGGAATGTTTCAAAGGTGTAAAATAGACAGACACAAAAGTAGAAAAAAGGTGAGGCGAGTACCGTGAGTGATGGGGAGGTAGAAAAAAGGTGAGGTTAGTACTGTGGAAGAAGTCGACAGTAGAGCAAAGGTGAGGTGAGTACTGTGGAAGGGGTCGAATTTGACATACAGTGGGGTGATGGTAGTTTGAAGTGAGAAGTCGAAGAGAAAAGGTAAGATGAGTACTGTTGAAGTGGTCGAATTTAAGAAAAAAGGTGAGGTGAGTACTGTGAAATGGTCGAATATGGACAAAGGTGAGGTGAGTACTGTAAAAATAGTCGAATATGATATAGAGTGGGGTGATGGTAGTTTGAAGTCAGAAGTCAACTGCCGATCAATAGACTTTTTGCAAGTCAGAAGTCAACTGCCGATCAATAGACTTTTTTGTCTTTGAAGTCAGAAGTCAACTACCGTACAGTGGGGTCATGGTAGTTTGAAGTGAGAAGTCAACTGTAGGTGAGGTGAGTACTGTGGAAGTAGTCGAATATGACACAGTAAGGTAAGATGATTACTGTGAAAGGGGTCGAATATGACATAGTATAACGAGTACTGTGGAAGTAGTCGAATATGACATACAGTTGAGTACTCTGGAAGTAGTCGAATATGACATACAGTGGGGTGATGGTAGTTTGAAGTCAGAAGTCAACTGCCAGTTAATAGACATTTTTGCCGTATGAGTATACGTTGCCCTGAGCGCACCACGTGGAGGTAAGTCTATCGCGCACCCCAACTCGCATAAAATGCGTGAGTTTGAATTTGAAAATGTCTTCCCACTTTTATACTAACGCCTTCTGATGCCTTATTTCATATTGTTTAAAAATTCTTTAGATTAAACCTTATTTCATCCATTTCTAACAAATTTATAGTTTATTCAGAGATACTTGAGATTGCCCTATCGGTTCATTCCTCTACTTTTTTCATTTTGGGCAAAATTATTTATAGCGGAGACCAATAAGCAGCTTGCAAGTATTGTGCATTTGTTTTAAACAACGCACAATATTTGCCATGGGACTTAAACGAAAACCCCTTTTATTTATCCTATTTCAGTCACGTAACAATGTTTTAACTGAATTTTTTAGTAACAGAAAAGCACTTAAACATGTATATATTCTTTAACGTAAATAATTGAAACCTCAAAGTTGGCTGAAAAGTGGCATAATGGGCATTTTTTCGCAAATTTAGTTTATCTGCTTTCCATAATACTCTCTGCTTTTGAATGATAACGATGTATATATATATATAAAGATTTCGAATTTGAGAAACCTGTCTTATGAATGTAATAATGGTAATGGTTATTTGCAGAAGAATATGATCAGTTCGATCGTAAATCAAAGCCACGCATTCATTAATATCGCTTCAAGCACATTGCTTACTTAAAATACCACCGTGTATAATTAATCAAGTTAATAATTATACAACTAGAATGAATCATTTTTTTGCTCACAGATGGATGTCGCAATTTGAACAGAAAGATGATATTAATTCCCAACACAACAATGACAATTGCATGCACTACTTAAGTAACGCGAATTCTCCACCACCTAACGATGATGATCCTGTCGTAATTGAATCAAAATCCCACTTCTACAACTATGCCACCATACAAACTGTCAGTGTCTGGAAGTGTGAATTCAGTCCATCTATTCGGGAGAGCTTTAGAGCCTTCAATCAGACCCTCTACTATTGGATAGATAAATATGTGTATCAGCGTAGTGTCGGGCCGTGGTTCCTTCGATCCGTTTCTACACTCCTGATCAACTCACTTTGGTACGGTGTTCAACCCGTCTATTTTGTTGCTCATTTAACTCTTCCACTTATTGCACTTGCTGAAGATGGAATAGCCACCGTGGTAGCATTTTTTAGACTTTCTCTTCCTCCTGGTGGACTGGCTTTCATTCGGTGGTTTTTCCAAATGCGTTCTATTGACTATCTAGCAGCTGGTTGGATACTTCTATCCTTTCAAGAAGCCTATGAATTGTGGTCTTCTTTTGGATTCTTTGTCCAAGTGATAGGTGTTGTACTGGGAATCGCTCATTTCACGATGGTAAGATTTGTCTCCGATTTCGAGAGATGGACGGTAGAGAATCCTGGAGCGGATGTTGCTGAAGCAACCGCCAGGAATTTGAGTTCCACTGGAAAAGCTTGGGAATCGCCTGTCGTCGATGGCTATGTCTAAGTCTTTCCTCTGATCCTCTGCTCTTTTATACAAATACTCCTGACGTGACTGCCTTGCAGAGGCATCCAACATACGGCAAAGCAATTTATCTTCAAGCGAATCGTAAAGTGTGCGTTTGAACCCAATGAATAGCGTATAAGCGGCTTATTAACTCTGAAATATGTCCGTTCGTGTAAAAGATTAAATATAGCGATTTAAAGTCTATTCTTATGTCTCCGTGTGGTTTGATGAACTATTTGTTCATTTTAATACTTTTCTTTGTGATTAATCTGGGCGGGAAGGGGGGGAGGTGGGGTATGGGATGGTTGGTCGAAATCTCCTAATCCTTTGTGTTGTAGCGGATTGCTACGCTAGTAAAGCCTGGGTTAAGTCTCAGAAACCTTTGTGATAGATTCTCCTAATTACTGAGTCTCCAAGAAGAAAGAGGCGTATCACTGGAACGTTTATTCACCAGATAAGGATAGCGAATTGTAATTTTTGGCAAAGCGATTAGTTATCAGATAAATCTAGCATAACAGTAATAGCTAAATAGCTCTGAGCAGTGTTCTGTAGCAAGATTTCTATTGGTCATTGATGAAGTGTCCCACAGTGTCCCTTTCTAGATACATTGATAGCAAAAAAGAAAGACGATTCGATTTCTGCTTTAAAAGTTAAAAATGGACCCGATTTGATATTCATTCGAAGCGTGAACCCAAATTACTCTTTGATTAATATGGGGTTGGAACGGACGTTCTTTAAGATTGAGCAGGCTGACGACATGGTTTGAATTCAGCCTAGGGATCTAGAATAAAGAGCAGCAAATCATACTATGGTACTTTGATGCAGCTTTTTAGCATTAATGAACATCCGCGTGAGCAGGTACTTTTATGGGATTAAAGGTCATTGCCAGCTTAGGGGGCAAGGTCTTCTATATTTACATTTTCGCTTCTATCTAAATTTCAAACATTATGAAGTGACATACGTTTCATATTTTACGATTCTAATCATTTTATTATTCATAAATGTATTTATGATAGGAGGTTTAACAATGATTTACCAAGTATCACAAATGGGATATCGGTCCTTCGTCATCGCTATACCAGTTCCAAGTTATAAATGTGATTGGCCACGGCATAGCGAGGCCACATTCGGACATTTATTTATCTCAAAAGGCAGGTGTTTTGGAAGTTATCATTAGCCCTTTAGCTGATTTCGGGCTTCACAGAGGGGAGGAGGAACATCGGAGTGACAAAAAGTCGAGAGGAGGGACAGAATATTGATTAACAGATGTGAAAGAGTCAGGCAGACACAAAGGCAGAGAAAAGGTAAGATGAGTACTGTGAAAGGGGTCGAATATGACATTCAGTGAGATGATGGTAGTTTGAAGTCGGAAGTCAACTGCCAGTTAATAGACTTTTTTGCCGTATGAATATACGTTGCCCAGGGTGCACCACGAGGAGGTAAGTCTATCGCACACCCCACATTGGGACATTGAAAACCAATGGTTGATTCATCTTCTTCCAATTAATCACTTCCTGAATAAAACTAATTTCAAGCATATAAATGCCTTCTACATTAAGTCAGAAAATGTCTGGTTACAGGAATGGTCTAGTGACTAAGTCATCTCTATTACCCCCCCCCCTCCCCCCACCAACCCACCACCGCCACCCTGGATAAGAACTGAACGATCTATCCATTATAATAGGCTTTCACAAATTTCAAAATTCGATTCAAAAAATATTTGTTTATGCACAAAGTGCATGATTTTCCTTTCAGTGAATTTACAGTAGTTTCGACAAAGTAATGCACTGCACTTTCTTTCCTGAAAAAGGGAGCGTTTCCACAAAAGAAAGCATGCGGTAGAATTTTGCCACGTTTCTTGATTAACAAAAGGAAAGTGAAACATATACCTTAAGAAAAATTTAGGATTTTGATATAGAACGACGTTGAGTTTTGAGAAATTAATATTATTTTAAAAAATATACTTTCCGTTTATTTCACAACTTCCCATATTTCGAAGTTAAGATTTTGAATATCTCACTTTAAATTGGCAAATTCTTAATAAAGAGGGCGAATTTCGTAGCTAAATTCCTAAATTCTACATCAACCTTGTCGAATCTTAGTCACTTATGACTACTAAACGCAGATACCTTCTTTTCGTGTTGGTAAGGTGCTAGTAATAAAAATGTTGAATAACTTTAGTATTTATTTTAACTTTTTATTTCTTCGATTGGGAAATTCCGGGTCTCGTCTTTGCATGCGTCCCCGTGAAGTTTTCTTATCTGGTTGAATGAAAAATTGCTGAGGAAAGCAGATGATTTTAAGATATTGAGTCCAAGAGATTTTGGCAGTCACTTTAATTTTTCAAAAATATTTTATTTAATATGAGCTAGTTTGACAAATTGACATGAAAAGAACGTCCATTTTCCATTTGGTCTTATACTTTTAACCCTCAGTTGGGGTGTGCGATGGACGTACCTCCACGTGGTGCACTCAGGGCAACGTATACACATATAGCAAAAATGTCCATAAACCGGCAGTTGACTTCTGACTTCAAACTACCATGACCCCACGGTATGTCATATTTTACCACTTTCACAGTACTCATCTTACCTTCTCTGCCTTTGTGTCTGTCTCTATTACATCTCTCCATTTTTTTCACTTTGATGTTCTTTTCCCTCTGAGAAGCCCGAAGTCAACTAAAGGACTAATGATAACTATCAAACCGTCTGCCATTCGATATAAATAAATATTAACGAACGGGGTGGATGATTATCTAGGATTTAAACACTATTTTTAGACAATTCAAATTAACCACACAGTAAGGAGAATTTTGTTCTTATTTTGAACCAGTTTTATGCTAAATTTCTTCACTGATCCTTGCCTTACGTGCAGCACCTTGCAGTCAAATTAGAAAATAGTTTTAAAATTTGGGGGGGGGGAGAGGGAGGGGATGGGAGGGGGGGGGAGAATTTCTTGCATGAGGTCACTTGACGTGCACCCACCTAGTGGCCACATTCTCACAAAACTAACACTTCTGGCATTAATATGTGAAATGGCTAAGATCCATAACCCAACCCCCCCCCCTCCCCCTACGCACCCACCATCATCAGGGTTGTGCAAGTTTTTGCACTATTAATGACAGTGACAACTGTTATGGCCTTGATTTAATTGAACTAATCAAGTTGCTCACACGCTATCAAGACCATCCCTTTCGAGGAGGAAACATAAGAAAGTTGGCATTTTAATATGAAAAGGGGTTTTTGGACAAAGTTATTTTTTCCAGTTCTCTTGAAGGTGTCCATACAGACTGGAGGCCACCTAATTCATAGATGAGAAGGATTTTTCTCATGAACGTGCACAGCGGCTACAAATAACATAGTTGCGTTTGATCTCCAACTTTCCCTGAACACCATGGAAAGAATATTGAGGAGTACTGCGGTAGAAAAAAATCGAGAAAGCAAACGATCTGTTAAGTTGTAAAAAGTATCGCTGCTTTTGAAACCTACTTTGATCTTCACAGGTTATTGCTTCTTTCCGATCACTGCCATGAAGACCTCTATTGCTCCTAATTCAAGAGTCGTAGAGGTCAACTTCCGCAGAAATAGCTCAAGAAGAAGGTCTGATAAAGTCAAGAAAGTTTTGATCGAAGTGAAGCAATCCGAACCGTTTTAGACAAAAATAATTTGCAAATTTCGAAAGAATAAAGAATGACTAAATTTCACCAAACTGCCATTTTTTGTCGGATATGTCTTCCTTCTATGTGGGGGGGGGGGGGGGGGGG